ATCATCTAAGGAGCTCGGGTCCTTACCGCTGAGAATAGCTTTGGTTCACTTTTGGGGAGCTTGGTCCTTCCTCTAAGCATTGCTTCCTGGCTCCATAGGGGAAGATGATGCACTGCTCAGTCTCCTGGAGAAGCTTGCCGCGTGGGCTTTCCTGATGGGAACTTGGATTTCCTCATTATCAGAGGAACTCAGGACCTCACTGTTACTGACGATGGCTGTGGTACTTTTCTGGGGAGCTCTGGTTCTTACTTTGAGTGTCACTTCCTGGCTGCAGTTCAGATCCCTCAGCCTGCTGGCACAGATCCTTCATCTCGCTGACATAGACTTTCTAGCTTCCACCACTGACCTTGGGGCCTTCGCAGCACAGATCCATGAAACAGGCCTGCGTGAAACATTGTCATTGGCTCTAGGCTTCCAATTGGACTCGTGGGAGTCATTATTATGGGCTCTAGGTCTTCAGCTGAACTCATGCAGGACATTGTCATGGGACCCGGGCCCTCAGCTGGTCAAGATTCTTTGGTCTTTAGTGTGGGGATAGATTTCCTGCACTCTTTGTATATGACTTTTTGGGTGACTATTATAAATAATCTTATAAAACATGTGGGCTATATTATATTGTTTTCCTTGCCAAAAACCCCAAATCATGACAATAGCCATTAGGAGAAATATATTTGTCAAAAGAGTACAAGATTTTCCAAATCTCAAAACTAGTTTTACACATCAAAAGCAAAATTTGGAGATCTGAAGCTTTTAAATCAACAATAGAGCGAACATAGGACATAAGGTAAGGAACAGTGCTGTCAACCTAGCAGGAGGGAGAAGATTCTAGGAGACGTAAGGAGAAATGGCCGCTGTGTGCACTTGGGTGAGCACTCTTAGGTCTGACACCCGGAGAAGGAAGTGATCCTCCAATAACAAAAATGGGGGAGGGGCTTCTTCCTCTTTCCTGGCTTGAAAGTGGGAGAACTCCCCCTTCAAAGTGCAGTGAGATGGGTCAGGCCGCAGATCAGACGCCGCCGAGGGGAGCCTGCAGCCCATCTTGTGCTGTGGGGAAGATGTGCTGGAGTGAAAGGATCTCTGCCGCCTGTGAGCTGACACAGACTGAGGCAGCGTGAAGCTGAAAGATGCTAAGTGGTTGTCCGTGGGTCTCAGTGCCGCAGTGGGGCACCCGCACGGACAGTGGAGGCCCAGGAAGACAGAGAAGGAAGTTGGTACCTCAGCCCCGGGCCACTGCTGTCAGTTTGCTTCCCCATGGCAGTCATGAGGTCTTGCTGGCCTCCAACTAGACTGCAGTGTTGCCTTGTCAAAGGTGAGAAACTGTGAACAGCGGATTCAGGATTCCTCCCTCCCCGTCCACGTCCCACCCACAGTGAAGCTTAGATCACTATGGAAAATGCAATGGTTACGTCCTGTGCACAATGTAGATTTAACGTACCAACTTTACGACGTTTGTAGGGGCAGCAAGTTGTGTTCCCTAAGGAGGCATGGCCCGTGCTCCTGTAACAAGCGAGAGGTTAACAAGAGAACACGTAATAAGTGTGTCTCATCGAGTTTTAAGCGACACAAGAAACCTCAGAAACGAAGACACACTTTTTTGCTTGGGCTCAGTGAAGAATGGATGATCACGTGGAAGTATGACTGGACAAAAGAGTATGACTGTACAGCGAGAAGCTTCCTGTTTCATGACTCCCTTTGGGAAGAAGCGTTCTGGTTTTCTACAGCCTTGCTTCCAGGGAGAGGGGAGGAGTTATTCCACTTATTTTAGTGTAAAACAGGGGGCAGGAGAAGACCAGAGAGAAATGCTGTTTCTGAGGCCTCTCAATCTCGTTTAGTTCAAATTCTTCATCATGTCAAAGCACCATACTATCTGTTTGTATAAGCAAGGAGAAAGGTGTAGAGGAATCAGGCTATTAGCCAGGAGAAAATAATTAGCTTTTGTTTTCTGTATTTTAATGCTAAAAGATATTTGTTGGATGAATAAAGAATGCTAATACGGCTGAGTGGGTTGACTCATAAGATCAGGAGCACCCCCTGGCCCCTGAGGATTGTGTAAGTACCACCCCGCCCCGGTCGTGTCATCATTCTGTTTGGGTTTATTTTAGCTACCTCTTGACATCTGGTTAACCTAGATGGTTTCATAAGTGAATTAAAAATGAGGAGAGTATAAATAGTCAATTCCTGGCCTATACCCAGCTTGCCTAATAGTTTATTTTGCCATAATTTCCTCTTCTGCAAATTTGGGACTAACAGGCTTTCTGTAAAGGTAACAAAATTAGACTGGTTAAAACACACTTATATTTATAAAGTACCAGAGTTGCCAAGTACAAGTGAAAATTCTTTAATTTTCCTTTTGTTACATCCCTGGTGATTACATCCCGAACAAAACCTGTGCATTATACAGCACTGCTGTAATCCAACTTAAAATTAAATCTCTGACTCTTGAAATTCCCATAACCCTGGGAAATTTCAATCTCCTCCTGTTCGCCGTGCTCATTCTGAACATTAAGTAGGGATCTGATGTAGGAAAATACTAATCTCAGGCTTCTTATGATTATAGATGCTCTTTCAGTAGTTTGGATAGTGGCTATTTTGGGGCTTTCTATAAGCTTTGCTTGAGTCACTGGGACAACTTAGGAACAACTAAGTTGTTCAGAGGGTTGTAAATTAAGGTTAAGCCTTCCAGTCATGGGGAGCCTCTGCAGTTTGAACATGTACGAGCTGGTTGGTCCCTCAGATGGCCTTTCTGCAGAAGGGGAGCAGAACCATTTACGAAAGCCATACTGATGCTTGAGGAGCTTTAGCACGTGGACTTCATTTGCCCTCCTTCCCTCTTCTCCAGGACAAAGCTTAGATGGAGCCTCAGTTCGATGATATTGTGGGGCCTCCCACCCCCCTGCCTTAGTTCCAGTGCCCTCTCACTTCCTGACACTCAGTTTCTGCCCTGTGACCGCTTCTCACCACCCCCCAAGGAAGCGGTGAGGAAGAAGAGAGGAAAAGTGAGAGATCCTTGCGTATATAGGAACCGGAAGTACTGCGTGCTTTCCTCCCACGTCAGCTACAGCCTCTTGTCTCTCAGCAGGGGCCCCTCATGCTGTACACTTTCATAGTAAGCTTTATCTTGCGTCAGTGTTTTCACCTAGGCAATGAAAGTAATAATGACAACTTACAGCTTGTTTGAGGATTTCAGGAGATAATGTAAATGCCTAAGACATTACCCTGAATTGTGACCACTCACTAAAGAATAGCTATAATGAATATTAACGGTATTCCTATTATTTGATTATCCCACATTTATTTTGCCCTCATAAGGATAGGCTACCTTTAGTTTTGAGATGTGAGGAAATGCAAAGGGAAGGAATCACCAAGTACCTTTCTGGCTATGTTAAAGAAAATTCCACAAGCAGCCTAAATCCCATTGTATTCATATGCGCTGGGCATCCTCAGAATTGCTGTTAGCTGCATCACTGCCAGGTGGAAGAGTCGTGATACCCCTGCCTTGTTATGCCCACACAGAGCTCCTGACACATCCTCTCAGAACGGTGAAAACATCTCTTTCACATCTCTCCTGTTTCCTCCTCATGAATGCTCATTTCCTGTGACTGAACACGTTAAGCCTTTTGGAGGACAATCTTAGACTACACAGGCAGAGCTCTAAAGGAAGAGGACAGTGTGGAGACAATCCAGACTTCTTTTTTCCATCAGAGTACTGCGACATAGGGTAGACTGCAAAGGGCCAAAACTTGGCTAGAGTAAAGATTTGAACTATTTACACTGTTTAAATATTCATATAGCTTCCTCTGGTAGCTAACAGTACTGTATATTTTGCCTAGAAAAAAACAATACAGAAGATAATTACTAAATTTCATAGCATTCTAAAATGGTTGTGAGGAACTAATTTTGGTTTATTCTCTTAGGTAAATGTATTTTTTATTCAATTTAGGACAATAGTCAAGTGATTATATCCACTTCTAAGTATTTTTCTGAGTATAGTATCAGTACCAGATACATCCTGACATTAATACCATGAAATCTCATCTAAAATTGTCCTGTCAGTGCCATCTTTTTTATAATTACTTTATTATTGGCTGGAATAAAAATGGACACAATCCAAGTGCAGTCAACAGGTTTGCTTATAGATGTGACATGCTTTAACTTATGAACAATTGAGCTATGGAATTAATCAGATTAGAAGGACCAAATTGTTTTTGAGGATGGTTTTTCACAATTTATATATATTTCAGTCTGTGCTATGAATTGACACTATATTTTTTTATTAACATATGTGAAGATGCCAAACTATAGGTATCGATTCATTATTTTGTTTTGTTTTTAGTTGACACATTTCCATCATTATAATTTTCTATATTGTCCTAGATTTTACTGATAAATTTAAACAAATTTCACAATTTCAGATGACAACATAAAAGCAAATATTGGGATTGAATTAACTTTAAATTCATTCTTCAAATAACATTCATTTGGCAGAAATCTCCACTTTATTTTTTTCTAACTATATTTACTATACTATAGGTATGTATCTGCCCAATATGTAATATAAAAGATGAAAGCATTAAAAATATCAGTTTTCTCATTCTAACAATATTGTTGCAATTGATCTAAAATATAAATTCAAGTAATACCAGAAAAGGTAATTGAAAATTGGAAAGGAAAAGAAGTCCACTTGGAAAGATGTGGTCAATATTCCTAGATAATTAGTAATTATTACATAAGAATTGACCACAAGCTATAGCCTTATCTTTTAACTATATTATTGCTACTCAAACTTGGCTTTTAAGAAACTTCCTTCAAAAATTGCATAAATTATAGTTAATTGAACCAAAAAACATATATATGTCTCTCTCTCTCTCTCTCTATATATATATATATATATAGAGAGAGACATATAAATTGTGTGTGTGTGTACTTATACCTAATGTACTATGTGTATGTATGAAGGAAATAACTTCATGAAAAGTCATGTTTTCTACTTACTGTTTCAGATGTACATTACCAACACAATCAAAGCCAAAGGAACCAGACTTGCTAAGCCAGTACTATGCTTGGGATTAATGTGTTTAGCCTTTCTTACCGGACTCAACAGAGTAGCAGAATATCGAAATCATTGGTCAGATGTGATAGCAGGCTTTCTGGTTGGCATATCTATAGCAGTGTTTCTGGTAAGTACAGATTTATTTAATATTTATCTATTAATTTAATGTAAATATTTATTTAATACTTTATATATTATTGTATTTTTAATGAATTTATAGAACTACCTAGAAGAACACACAAGGGTGAATCCCTGAGTTTATCTAAATGTAATCTATCAAATGATAATATATATATTTTAAGTCATGACCCACCCCTCCCCAATTTGCTCTGCTTAAAGTCAGGTTTGGAAATGAAAAAAATAAATAAATTCTGCACCTAAAGGTGAACAGAATACTTTCCTATAAATGGAGGAGGGCTAAAAACAGTCCTCTCTGGCGAGTTTTTACAACTGGGTTATTTAGGCTTAAAAATTTCCTTAGCGTGGCTTACATCTGGGCTATCTGTGCATCTCAGAGTTTCCTAGTCCCCGGGCGCTGTCTCCTGCCTGAGCCCGCATGTCACATGGCTTCTGACACGCTGCCCCCTGACGTGGGCCATTTCATTCCAAACATTTCCGGATACTTTCTACGACAGCACCATCTCTAAGCACCAGAAGACTTCTAATGAAGTAAACATCTGTGTTTCCATTGAAAAGTTATCGTAGGATATTTATATAGGTGGTGAGTGTGGAAAATGTATTTTAGAGTTTATCAATACATTGTAAATGTATTGATAAATTATATAATATTTTACCTAGTTGACAAAATGTGTAGATTATAAATCAAGATGTAGTTCTATATGGACATATTATAATTAAAGAAATACTTTATTTACATTTTTATTACATTTGAATTGCTTTTTACTCGAACCTTTCCTTCCTGAACATTCTTTCACTAGTTTATGATCATAAGCAAAAATTTGTGTGAAACTTTCTGGCTGTTGAATGCTTGAGCACTTCTGCACCTGTATCTTCAGTAGGTTATTTCCTTAATACTTCGCTGTGGTGAGGTGGTGACTAGGATCATATACCTATTTGCATGCTGTACATTTGTGTGTGTGTGTGTGTGTGTGTGTCTGATGTCACTCTGTAACTCTTAAGGTCACTGGGCGATGAAGGCCCAATCCTCTGTTAAAAAGGAAAAAGAATATGCTGAGATGAGTTAAGTTGAACAAAGTTTGAGGGAAAAAAAGAATTTTAAAACTGGATAACACTGCAGACCAAAGTTGAATCCCTCACCTTAGCACGTGTATGGGTTATGTTTATACCCAAAGGAAAAGAAGTGGCGTAAAGGAGCAGCCTGATTGGCTGTGTTCGGCATTTGTGTAATCATGTGTAATCATGTTTTGGCAACTTTCAGCCTCCGATTGGCTGCAGGTTCAGCTGTATGAATGGTTAAGATTTAGATGATTGGTTACAGGGGAATGATTGTAGATTAGGTTGCAATTTATTTACATAGCACGCTAGAATATTTATCGCTGTATGCAGACTGCTTTAGACCAAATTTTGTCATCCATATGCAGAAACAGATTTGGGCCAACCTTGTCAGTTTAACAACGCACTTTTAGAGATATCCTGTAGGTTCATAAAGAAGAGGACCCAGACTTCAACCAGAACTTCTTCCTTGATTTCACTCACCACAGTTGAAACCGATTAACATTTAAAACAAAACAAAACAAAAAGCATAATACAGGGGGCTGGAGATTTAGCTCAGCGGCACAGCGCCTGCCTGGCAAGCGCAAGGTCATGAGTTCGGTTCCCGGTGCTGGGAAAAAAAAAAAAAAGCATAATCCATAAATCTTAAGAAGAACCAAAGAACACACCAGTAGTAAAAACTTACAAAACACTAGTGTCATATGTAACTGTGTTTCAGCTCCCCAGGTCCAGAATTTTTCCCCTGGCATCCCATCAGCCTTCCTGTCGATCTTCCTTTGGTTGCTGCATGCCATCTTCCTATTACTTCTAGCAACCATGGTAACACCTTGAAAGCCAAAACCAGGACCGTGGTGCCTCCTGGTCACTTCCCAGTCTGAGAACCATGTAGTAGTGATGAGGTGTGCTTCAGACCCTCGCCGTGCATGCACGAGACCTCGCTGAGCACGTTCAGAACACTTTGAAATTGCCCTTCAGACATTGCCAGGGGTCCAGGAAAAGACTTCATGCAAGAGTCATGCAAAGACAGTGACTTTACCATATAACTAAACATGCATTTACGCGTTCATTTTCAAGAGATTATGAATGTGGGTGCCTACAGAGACCAAGCACTGTGCCAAGAAGTGGAGATGCAAGCAAGTTCAGAGGAACACGGCCGGTTTCCAAAAGAATCAAACAGTACTGGTCCTGTCTCCTTAAATGCCGTCTCCTTTTCTCCTGTCATAAAACAAACATATCTGCTCTAATCTAGGCACTGTGCTTGGTGCTGGAAGCAAATAGCTGAAAAAGATACAGTCTGTGTGCTTGAGGAGATCACGGCCGGTGGGAAAAACAGACAGAAGGTTTTACGAAGGTTAAGTATGCTGAGAGAAGTACCAACAGACAAGAAGATGAGCTCTGTTGGGATTAAGCACAGATAAGAAAGCGGAGGTGGTATCCCTGCTTTCCTTTTGTACACTCTTAAGGATGTAAAGTAAGCCAGTCTAGGCTGGGCACAGGCCGTGAGGGGCGAAGCGCACAGCGCACAAAGGTGGGACGAGGTTCTGCATAAGCCGGGCGCGCACAGAGCCGTGCTGTGTTCCGGGGCCGCGTACAGCTTGCTCGTAAAGGAACATGGCCTCCTGGAATGGTAGCACGTCTCTCTCCCATGAGTGACAAGAAATGGGACCCTGGTAAGGGACATGGGGTACCCTGTCCCTGAATGACCTTGTTTGTCATGATAATTACCTGGAGTTTTGTTTAAAAAGGTAGGCAATTTAGGAGCCACTGTTAGACTTCAGCTGATTTTAAACAAACAGCCTGGTTGAATCCCCACTTGCTCACGTATTCACCGGTTCCACTGAGTATTACTTATCCTTTTAGAGCCTCGGTCCCTCCTTCTTTAAATAAGACTAATAACACCCTCCCTAAAGGATCCTTCTTAAGAACTGCAAAGATGAAAAGGAATTGTGGACATTTGCTAAGTACCTGAATGACAAGTAAGTCCCATAAATTATAGCTTTATCTCATTCCCTTTTACTCTCCGGTAAGTTTATGCTTTGAAATATGTTTGCTGGAAAATAGAACTGCAGGTGAGAACAGAGGAGACAGGTTACAGAAAACCAGGGAGAGAAAATGGTGCAAATTGCACCTCGGTGGCACCAGGAGAGGGGAGGATCTCCCCGAGGACAGGTGAGAGGATGGGTGAGGTGGAGTGGATGAGCCTGGGGGAACTTCGGGGGTGAGTCAGGCCAGGCGATGGGAGGAGCGATCTCTGATGATTCCCCAGTCTCTCGTTTGGACAACTCAGTAGAACATTTATTTTAAGCAGTGACTTTCGCTCTGGCTTGCAGTATCCTGGAGTGTTTCCAATTATTTTGCAGTGTGTGTAGGATTCTAACATGATTCCAAAATAAAATTAACATTAACCCGCTCCAAGCTTCTTTGGCTCTGTTAAAGCCCCACCATCCTCCCCAGGCTCTTGGCCTAGCATTCGCCTTTGACTCATTCTTCTGGTTCATCCCCCACAACCAGTGACTCATCTGGTTCAGTTTCATTTCCACTACAAAACCTGTTTCTTCCATGTCTTGTATCCCTGCTCATCTGACCAGTCTCTCACCCAGAGATTATTCCTTCTCACCTCTGTTGTATGCTTAGGTTCTTAGCTCCTTTCTGACTGCAGACTGTCTTGCTAACGCCACCCTTCCACCATGCCGATCTATGCACGTTATAACAGCTCACGCTTAATAACAAAACCAAACCAAAACTTCTTTCCTGCTGTAAGAAAACCAGACACTGCTACTGGGCTTCTGCACCCTCAGGAACCTGGCTGTGATCTTTCCACCCAAGTTTACGTGCCCCTCTTTACTGTGTGTGTAAATCACGCACTTTGAGTCCAATCAGCTTGCTTCCCCTGTCACACACAGCCTCTGTCCACTTCGCACACTGACCTCAGGAGCATGTCGCTCTCCAGTATAATCCAGAGAGCAAAACGGGGAGTAGTGAGGCAGGAAAACCTCCCTCTGCATTCTGCTGTTGCCGCTTGCTGTATGTACAACCTTGTGCCTGTCGGTTAGCTTTGCTGTATGTACAACCTTGTGCCTGTCGGTTAGCTCCGCATTATTCCCCAAATAGTGAGCCCTTTCCTGACCTGGGTATAAAATGGCTACTCTTCCTTGAAGAGGATTCCTTTCCTTAGCCCCTGGTTTACTTTTCTCCATAACACATTTCAACTCTCAATGCACCACAGCTAACGTTTTTGTTTTATTTGACTATCGATTCCACTGCAACATAAGCTTCTTACGGAGAAGTCATCTATCTGTTCTCTTTCGTACCCCCAGTGGCTAACAGGTCTGGCACATAAGGGATGCTTGGTACATATTTGAGGGGTGAATGTATCAGTGGTCATTTCATTTGCTTCCTGGAGCTCCTTTAAATGTTAAATGAAATTCCAAGTGTAGTAAGTGCAGACTAGTTCCTGGTACCAAGAAAGTGCTAAGTGTCATGATTGTCACCTTTGACATCTAGAGTATATTTCAGTTCTTTGGCTCAAGCCAGTTTCAGTTTCCCTGGGCAGTGCCCCTGATTACCTGACCCTTCCTCATTTCTACCACACTTGAAAGTGTGGCCTGTCCTGTTACCGTCTTACCAGGATTTATACTGTATAAATTCATCACTTCTTCTACGTGTATTTTGCTCAAGATAGAGAACAGAATCCTCACACAAAACAAATATAATTGAACCATAGTTGTTGGTTAAATTATTTTATCAAAACGTGTGACTTCAAACACTTCCAAAAATAATATGCATTACAGTGTCACACAGAATAGTTCAAGATTGTTAAAACACAATAGTTTAGCTTTTTAACCTATATTACAATGAAGTTGTTATACAGTAGTAATACTAAGTTATTCATGGGATCTTTACTATATTGATACCTGTAATTCAATACCGCACAGAAATGTAATTATTGTCCTCATTTTGCATATAATAAAAACTGAGACTTAAATTATATTAAATAGCTTGCTTCTGCTCACAAAATGGATAATTTGGCCCTCTCACAAAACAGCTATGAAGGGATGACATAATCCAGTTTGCATGTAGAAATACCGTTCTCACATCATTACAGAAAGTAGACTGCGGACTGGCAGGACCGGGTTTAGGGGGACAGTTTTGAAATCTGTGCATTGATACAAGCAAGAGGTGGCGATTACTCGGTGGTGGAGAGAGAATGAAGCAGAGAGACAAAATCAAGTTTTCTTCAATTTTATTTTATTAGTACGTGTTTATAATACGTGAAGTTTGCATTTATCTTAGACAGTAGGTGTGTGTTCATAATAGTCTTGATTCTTTTGCACTGCCCTTCCCATCCTCACCCAACTTCCTCCCTGTTTCCACGGCCCCCTTCCTCCCTGTTAATATGATTACATAACTTACAGTGTCTGCCTTCATCCAGGAAAGTGTGTGTGTGTGTGTGTGTGTGTGTGTGGTGCGCGTCCACACACATCCTCGCGCTCCTCACTTTCCCCTCCTCCCTCCCCGCCTCGTCCTGGTCTCTTGGCTTCCTTCCCATTTGTCTCATATCTGGCTCACGGTTTCCTGCTACCAAACCTGTGTTTCGCTCTATGTTTACACTTTTCCTCACTCAAATGAGAGATACCATGCGGTATTTAAGCTTCTGTGACTGATTCACCTCATTTAATATTATATTTTCCAAGTGGGTCCATTCCCTACATCTAGAACTTCGTCCTGTGTAGCTGAGCAGTATCCCCTTGTGCATAAACACATTTTCTTTATCCATTTGTCTCTTGATGGACATACGGGCTGCTTCCAGGATTTAACTCTTCTGAATTGCACAGCAGTAGACACTGCTATACATGGGTTGTTGTAATGTGACGTCCTTAGCTCAGGGAATAGCTGGGTCGGATGGAATTTCTAATTATCACGGTTTTCAGGAAGGAACGTTCAGTGGATTCAGTGAGTAGTTGAGCACAGGCGGTACAGAAGAGAAACCAAAGTTTTCAGCCCTGCACAGCTGTGTTGTGCTGGAGTTTGCTGTGGGTGGGGGTGGCCTTTCCCTGGAGCTTCCAGACACGGTGAGATGGGTGAACATGTATTGACTTCGTCATACCATTGCCAAACAAAGAAATGCAGTTAACTTAGTGATGGGTTGCAGTCTCTTCTAACTGAAAAAACTGAGATCCAGAGAACTGCTTGAGAAAATGCAGGTTTAAGATAAAAAAAGAAAAAGAAAAACAGGCCTCTTGTGTTTTCTTACTGTTTTCATTAACAATAAGTCAATCCCGGACTGGTGGATGTTGGCAGATAACTTATTAAATGTTTGAATGTGACTCTCAAGAAGATCTGGTAATTTCTTTCCCTATAATTTAAGCACTAAGAGTAAAGAAGAATAATTATTATGTCAGTTTTGCCAATCAATACGTCTCTATTATGGATTAAGTTTTCCACATATGAATTCTCCCAGCTTCTTTGCTTCTCTCTCTCTCTCTCTGTCTGTCTGTCTGTCTGTCTGTCTCTCTCTCTCTGTACTGGGGATTAAACTCAGCCTTTGCGCTGAGCTACATCCCAGCACCATTGCTTTTGTTTTTCTTTAATTTTAAAATTTTGAGACAGGGTCTCCTCAGTCACTAAATCTTCCAGGCTGGATTTGAACTCCTGCCTCAGGCTCCCAGAAAGCTTAGACTGCAGGCATGCAGCACCACATCCAGTTGAACCTGACCTTGCATGAATTAGAAGAGATAACCTATAGATTCTTTCAAAGAGTTTTCCAAACCTAAATAATGTTAAAAACAATTATACTAGTTTCAGAAACCCATATTACCTCTAGATGAACTTCATTTCATGAGTTTCAAAAAGTCTATGTAGTTACTGCATTTCAATAAATTTTCTTCAGATTTATTAGCAATATTTCATCTACCCAGCTTTTCAATAATTTACTTAGTAATGCAGTAAAACATGTATGTGTATGTGTTTGTGTTTTGTGGGATGGGTGTGAGGTGACTAGTTTGCTTTGTGGTAACTGTTAGCTAAAATTCTTGAGTATGTCCTTTGTGTGGTAGATGGTGGTTAATCAGTAAACTACAGCCTACAAACCAAAGATGACCTGCTGTCTCTTTTTGTAAAGGAAGCTTATCAGAACATTAACATGCCCATTCGTTTGTCAGTTGTCAGTGACTGCTTTGTATCAGAAGGGTAGAGCTGAGTAGATAGCACAGAGACTGGAAAGCTACAAAGCCAAAAATACTTACTATCTTCCATTTCCAGAGAAGAAATTTTATTTCCTCAGCAAACGGTATCAGTCTTTTGTGGGGCCTCCAAGCTAGCAGTGTCGGGATAGATTTGCTAGGTGCCTATCTTCACACCCTTATCATTCCTTTCTTTGAAGATCTTGGTGGCATCAGTAAAGCTTAGTTATCAAATTATTAGGATTTATGTTTCTAATTTGTAATTCTTTTATGGAGCAGAAGGATAAATAAATAACAGATTGCATGGAAATATTTTTCTGTTATTTCTCAGAGTAAGTGTTAGCATTCTGGAGATTTATAAATTTTATTTAAAAAATTGGAAAATAACTAAGGTTATTTGAAACTATTCAGTAATAGGTCCTCCTAAAGAAAGGCTTTGTAATGAAGAATTAATATTTTGTGTAAATATTATTATGGATAATTTTTTTTTAAAAAATGAATATTAGGTTGTAACTACAAGTAAATTCTGTGTTCAGGTTCATAATACATGAAATTTGGGCTGGGGATGTAGCTCAGCAGCACAGCGCCTGCCTGACAAGGATGAGGTCGTGAGTTCGATTCCTGGTACCAAAAAGTAAATAAATAAACATAATATATGAAATTTATAGAAAGACAACTCCACATCTTGCCCACTAGTTTAATATAAACAAACAATAGCAAATAATGTTCCTGTGTTGTTTAATTTATCATTTCTTAAACATCATCCATTTGTATCAGAAAACTAGAATGTATTTAATAGTACCAACTCCTAGGTCCATCCTTAACCTGCCGTATGAAAGTTCTAGAAGAGGGCACAGGAATTAGCATTTTTCACAGTGCTAAAACTATTTTTATGGACCTAGTATGAGAAACTCTGGATTACTCAAATTCTCTCACCTCTGGAATATAATCAATTGAAGCAAGGGTAAGTTTCCTTTATACAAAGGGTCATCTATTTAAGTAGCAGGCCCCAGTAAGGTATTATTGAAATGCCAACTATATGTGTGGCGCAATGATAGACAATAAACTAGATTAATTAAAGGGGTGTTACTGAATTAGAGTGCCAATTGTAAAAGGTTTATCATGAATGTAATAATCTTGAAGCAGTGGAAAGTAATTAGCATTTAAATTAAGTTGTAGGTTAGCCACATTAGGGAAAGGTTAGCTTGCTATGAATTTTTATAAGGTTATGGTGTTATTTTTGGGTTGATTTGAGAATTGACTATACTTTAATGAAAATTTTGGAATGATGAATTTGTCATTGTTAATTAAGCTACATACTAATTGATGAATTTTGAGCCTCTCTGCATTGGAGTAGCTATTAAAATTTATATGAAATAAATCTAAATGCAAAGTTTATACATGTAATTCCTAAGTAATTTTAATACTTTATTACTATATCTACTATATCTAAATATATTAAACTAATCAAAAGGGTGATCGAAACAGCATTTATGGTTTTACTTACCTGTAATTGATTTTGAAATTTTAGGTCGTGTGTGTGGTAAATAATTTCAAAGGAAGACAGCCAGAAAATGAACACGTACACATGGATAATCTAGCCCAGATGCCGATGATCAGCATTCCTCGAGTAGAAAGTCCTTTGGAAAAGGTAACATCTGTACAGGTGATTCCTAGTTTAAATTCTCACATGTCGTTATCTAGAGCAAATTAATCGTTATTTCTGCACATGTATTAGGAGAGTGTCTGAACACCTACGGATGATCTCCTTAACCTCACAGTTTGATGTGCTATTCAGCAAGACTTTAGCCAGTGAATAGATTATCTTAGAAAAATGTGTATTGTGTTTAAAGTATTTGTCTGCATCCCTCAGTCCGAAAGCTGAGTTCTGTGCACGGAATCCGTGCAGTACTTTGGCACCACTTCCCTACACGAAGCTCGGTACACCACTTTCACACACAGACAAAGCAATAAGATGCTCCCGCCTGAAAATACAAGCACTGTTTTCATAAAACACTGCATTTCTTCCACACATCATGTCTATAATAAAGTGCTTCACGCAATACCCGGCACACAGTCAGGGTTCAGTAAATATTTAGTGAACCTCAGTGTAGGAAGGCCTGGCAGCAGGAATACGGCAGGCATCCTCTCCTGGTGGAGGAGGCATGAGGGGCGGGTTGGGCGGGATGTACCCAGACCATGCGCACTTTGAGCAAAGGGCCACGGCCTGTGCTAGCATGGCAGTGAGCACAAGCCAGAGAATTAACAAAAACTATTCTGGAGAGTTTTGTAAAACCGATAGGATATTTCTGTTTCATAATAGTGATGCAGTTGCGTGCATTTATAGCTAGTTAAATGATTTCCCAGAGGGTTGCTAGTGGGTTTTCCTCAGCTCTGTCCACCTCTACATTTTAATCAGTGTTTTAATTAAGGAGCTTAGTGATGTGCTAATCAGGTGTGTAGAGGCGGGGAACCTGTGAGGCATAATCGGATGAAAGAATAAAAGTTCTTGAGAATGCAAAGCTACAATTAATTTGCTAGAAAGGAAGGAAACACTTTGTATTTAAATACAAGAGAAATTCATGTGTAGGTTAGGGTACAGTTAGCTTACCTGCACACATGGAAAAGGCTCAGTGGGTACACAGATCACAGCTGAGCATTCATCAACAGCATGAGTAGCTGCCAAAATAGTTTCTATGATCTTAAGTCCAATTTAGGGAAATTGATCTCCTGAATGAGAGGGTCAAAGATCGGTGGTGCTGTCATTTCTGGTCAGAATAACTTGGAGCACTGTGTCCTGCCCTTGGCAGCGGACTTCCCGGATGGAGACTGATGAGATAGAATAGCCAGCACGTGGTATATTTAAACGAGTGAATGAGTGTGTCCAGGATGGTGAAAGGATTCAAAATTGTGGGCTCTGAGAGACTGTTGGAGGAACAAAAGATGATTAGCCTGGAGAAGAAGAAAATCCATGAAAATCCATGGGGGAAGCCGTAGCTTTCTGTAAGTGTCTGAAAGGCTGCTGGAAGATGGACGAATGAGAACTATTCTGTAGGGCTTGGAGAGCACCAACAGGCCGAAAGAGAGGAACGTAGGTTTAGGAAGATGGGAAGAAGAAAGGACAGCTTTCTCAGTGCAGTAACTCTCTTAAGAGTGACTTTTCCCTTGAACTGAAGCGATTCCAGAAGAGCTGAACAATCCCTTCTCCATGATTCTAAGGGGCAAAATTCAAGCATTTAAGTGAGGCTAGAGATGCTAATTACTTATATAATGATGATTCTAATACTAACAATAGTTACCATTTAATAATCATAGGTCTATGTCAGATACTGTGCTGGTGGTTTCCGTAAGTTCCACAAAAGCTCTACAAATATATTCTCCGGCCTCATCACAATTTTTAAAGCTGGGTCTTAGTATAGCGGCAAAGCGTGCTCATAGCCCAGCAATATTTCATGTTCCCTCCTTCATTCTGAGTCCTCTCCCTCAATTCTAGCTACGCCAGTCCAGCTGCCCAGCTGTAGTCTGTACTCTGCATTTTCCCTCACTTTTAGGTGTGACCAGTGACCAAATTTAGAACAATGGAACATGAGCAGAAGGGGTAAGCTCAGCCTCTGGTGTGCTTCCTTAGACTCTAGGGTGGGCCTCCTCTGCCCTCATTCTCCACGTGGACGAGCTAGTGCCTGGGACCGCCTTGGAGTCCCTTCTCTGAGGACAGGTCTACCCTGCCAGTCTGAGTGACTAGATAAAAACTCTTAGAGCAGAGTCCACATACCCACTCCACATAGATGGTTCCAAAAAAGGAGTGAATGGCTTTCTCTTCTGAGTCATTTGTTTATTTAAATTTCTCTTCTCTAGGAGCTTAGCTAGTATCCTATTACAGTACATTTCCCCATTGTCTTGGTTACTTTTCTCTCGTTGCTGGGACAAAATACCTGATGCCCAAAATTAAGGAAGGAAAGGTTTATTTTGCTTACAGTTTGTGGAGGTTTCAGTCCATACTTGGCAGATTACAAGGCAGAGTGGCACACAGCAGAGGGCTACAGCTCATGGTGACAGAACACAGCAAAGCAACAAACACCAAAAGGGAGGAAATGGCCAGAAGCACCCTCTTCCTCTCCCTTACATATGCAAACTATCCACCCCAGGGCGGGTGTAGCTTTCACACCCATAATCAATCAAACTCTAAAAGCCTGCCCCATGGCCACATGAGGCTTTGGGGGGACACCCAGGCACAAACCATAACACCCATGTACACTTAAGAAATTGAATTTCCAAGTGTTTATTTTCAAAAGTTCACATCATTGATAAGCAACAGAGAAAAATTGCTATATTCCTAGCATCTATAGTCACATACCTAATGTGAAAAAGTACGTGTCTTAAGAACTGAGTAATGTATATAAAATTAGATCTTGTTTAACTTAGTAAAGATAGAAAGCAATGGGATAAAGGAAAAGATCTTAAACATATTTTGAAGAAAATAGGGTGACAGTTGGAGTCTGTTCTGTTTGTGTCTCTGAAACTTACTGGGATAATAACCAGTCTTCTGCTGTTTAGCATGTGTATTTGCAGTATAGTTTTTTATTAGCTCCCGGTGTTGCCTACTACTTCTACATACTGTCACATTATTCCCTGTATTAGATGGTGTTAACATTCCTATGGATTTTATGCTCATTCGTTTTTACTTACAGTGAGTTTTAAAATACTAAATGGTTGAAGGAAACAATTCTGTTAGAATCAATAAATTGCTGGAGATAAGCATTTCTGAACTTCTTTCTTTCATTAGTTTTGTTACTACTTTTCACGTCAGATGCACATGCTTTGCTTTTACTCCAGTAGTTGGGGAATGAAGATGGTTCGAAGCTGACTGACTTTCACTTAGTGGAGTGTGTGGATCCCCTCTCTGATGGGCCCATTCCTGTCGCCAGAAAGGACGCTTTCCGCATGGGGTCTTCCCATACACGCACGTGCGCACACACACACACAGCTACACGTGCACACGCACACACACGGACACACGGACTCACATGCGTGCACACACACACATGCATGTACACACAGACACATGCGTGTGCACACAGAGACACACATGCACGTGCACACACACACAGACACACACGTGCATGCACACATATGCACACACACAGACACACACGCACACACACACACAAACACACACGCATGCACACAGACACACACAGACCACAGGTATATCAGAACTTGAGATGCTAGGAATATAGGAGGAATATATATCAGGTTTCCCTGCAACTGCACTGCAGCATTTACTTGTGCTTATCAGCTAGAAAGAGAGGAAGATCATCACATAAGAGTAGCCTACGATAGCTTTTACTACTGTCCTTGTCATAAGGATTATGTAAATTAAATAAATTGCTTTGACTGTAATTCACATTGGTACATAAGGTAATGAAACAAAGGAAGAATTACTTAAAGCCTGGCCCCCAGGCATGGTCAGTGGTTTTAGCATTGTTATACCAAGCTGTTTTTTTCTTGCTGTCAGGTTGTGTGGAGAAAGCAAAGGGTTTCTTCTAGAAGTTGTGTACTTACATGACCCCGCAGTTCAAAGTACATGTCTGATAAACTGTAAGCTACTGAGTAATTATAGCATTCAAGCCTGCTTTATTTTTATGCCAGCAATTTATCCTTTAATTATAGGGAGTTCGTCATATGGTTAATTACCATAGTTTATGAGGAAAAGTCACGATTTTTCTGAAAGTTATGTAAATTTGAAAATTTATAACACTTAATTTTTATGAAAAGAATCATCCATGGAAGTTGGTCCCTCTTATCCCAGTGTCCACTAAATGTTCAAGTTACCAGTAACTTTATTACACCCATTAATCATGTAAAATCATGAAGAGACTAAATACATCTGGAGTGAATTACTGAAGCAGTGCTGCCGCATTCCTATAAAGGGATTCAGTATATTCCAGTATGATGTTTCTGCTCATAGGTCCTGGAGGTGGACTGGCTGGGAGTTCTGGAAATTTTGACTTTAGGTAAACTGAAATGCTCAGTGATTCTATTTTTCTTTCATAAATTGGTCTTTATGAGAGTTCAGTAAAATAATAGTAAAACACTTAAGCATTTAGTGCCTTTGACATTTTTAATAATAATTATTATTACTCTTTTAAAGTTAAAGTGAAGAAAGTAAACCAAGGTGAGGAAAGTTTTCCAATACATTGAAAAGTTTTTTTAAATAAAAAAATATATATGCCTATACATTGTGCCTCAGTTCACAAACTGAGTTTGCTTGGGAAACATAGCCATGCTTGTGTTTGTGTGGGACAGATGGACATGGTCATGCTTGTCACCTGATATAGTTTGCCAACAAAAAAGAAAATGTTGCCAAACTTTTTTTTGTGAACCAAATTGTTTACAAGCTAAAGTGTTCATGAACTGAGGTACCACTGTGTGTGTGTATCTATCTACGTATCTATCTATAGATAGGAAGCTACTCAAAATACCATGAGGTGTTTATTTCTAGTATGACAGAAAGGAGTACATGGATAAGAGGTTGAGAGAGACAGAGACAGGCAGAGAGAGAGGGAGAGAGAGAGGGAGAGAGAGAGAGAAAGGTAGACAGAGCTAGAGAGCTATATAGATGATAGATAGATAGATAGATAGATAGATAGA